CACTCTGCGTTTTGCTGCGGAACTTTCGCTCCGCAACTCCTCCCCCGAGGGTGGAGCTGAGCTGCGGACGCTTGGTGTTTGGTTCCAGGTGACCTCTATGTAGACCGCCTTTGGCGATTTTGGAACCGTGTGATCCTTCCACTGCTCTGTTTGTTCGATTTGTAGCTCCCACACAAACACAAAAATCACTGCAACGCTATTTAGCCCTGCTCAACTCTGACTTAAAAGGTGATGGAACAAATCAATTCTGTTTATTAGGAAACCTCCCCCCATGGGTTCGTCTGAAAAGAGGCAAAGAGATCAAAGAGGGCATCCCAAAATCCCGTGGTCATTTTTGTTTCCCGTAAAAATGTGCATATCATATCATATCATGACCCCCAGGAGCCTCCCAAGGCACCCTCCATGGCACCTGGTCTTCTGGCGTGGCCGCTTTCCGGGGCATCCGCTGCGGCGAGGCGCCTCTAGGGCGCCGACGCTGGCGCCCGGCCGCAGCAGCGTGTAGCGGTGGCATGGCCACGATGGATGGCGAGAGATGCATGCAAGGGGGTGGGCTCAATGAATCTGAGGACAGCTGGTACAAAACTCCGGATCACCAAACCAGAGAGTGACTGTAATATATCAACATGAATCAACATGATGCATCCATTGGTTCTGGGTATGGATGGGTATGGTATGGAGGGTCAACTAAGGCTGGGCACTTCTTTTTGAAGATCACCTAGGTTTTGAATTCTGTATCATAGCTACGTTTTGCTTTCACGACCTCTCCCCCTGAATTTGAATGGGGATTCTAAAAGATTCTAATTTATATGGATCTGAATCTATACTCAACTAAGCCTAACTAAGCCGACTTAATCCACTTTCTGGGCAAGTGCATCACATCCTTGTCCTGTCGAGATGCCCCTTCAGATAATTTGAAACCCCTTCGCTACCTGGACAGTCCACGGGAAAAACCGTCTAAAAGACATGTTGGAATAGGTTCACTTGTCTGATTGTCATTGTCGGTAAAGATGTCAACACTGCCTAATACTGTGGCCATCTCAGCTTCAAATTCTGATTTTTAACTTCAAAACATGGAGACATCCTCGCGTTCATCGGCCCTGGTGGGTTTGTGCGCCACTGGTGGGGCAGTTGCTGTGCTCACTTCAGCCGGTTTGGTACCAGCCATTGGGCTGGCCTTCGGCTTGGGGGGTGGATGGCTGCTGGGGCAGAAGCTCAAGAGCAAGACGCAGAAGCCCCAGGCCTTTGGGGCCCATCGATCCACATGCTGTGGTGGTGGTTGGTGGTGGGTAAGGATGCCCCAAATGAGGATGGATTTGCTGAAGATGATGCTTTTTACTTTCCCATTCATCCAGCATTTAAGGGATCCAGCATTTAAGGGGAATCATTCTTCTCTTATTGGGTTGCAGGTCGCGGCCCAGCCACAGCCAGTGGAAGTTGAAGATGAAACGGATGAGGAACAAGAGGAGGCCATCCAAGAGCTCGGTGAATTCATGGGCGCCGAGGTGGGTGAAGACTTGTGGTTATTGTAGACATTGAATGATTTGAATGTAGATCAATGTGCATTTTATTTAACAAAATGATATAAACACATGGGCTCAATATGTTGAAGACAAAATCAATTTTCGAAGATGTGTTTGATTATGTTTAATGTGGCAAGTGGCAACTCATCACCGCAACGAAGAAAACCCTGAGGTTTTGGGCCGTTTCCTAGGCCGCTTGCAAGAACAAGATCCCAGCAACGGTCAGCTGGATGGGCCCGAGGTGAAACTTATCCAGGATGGCCTTCATCAGGCCTTTGATCAGAGCCTCGGCCAGTGATGGGGGGATTCCTGGGGATATCCCAGGGATAGTGGGCTGATTTTTTGGACAGCATGAGTTCAAGGCTTCATTTTTCAAACCAAACCGAGCAGCTATATAATCGGCGTGGAAAAAAAACATGATTGTCCCCGTAAAGATGAGATTGTGAGATGTGTTCGAAACCATAAACCAGGGTTTTGCTCCCAGATTCTGGGGCCAGGAAACCAACAGAGATCAACTCAAGAGACAAACGCCAAGGTTGTCGTTGCCCAGAAAATAAATCTAGCATTTTGAAGCATGTTGATCCATTTTTGGGGAACAGCACCCAACGGGGAATGCGTTTGTCAACGAAACTTCGCAGTTTTCTATAGGGGAAATTTGAAATGGCTTTGTTTATTGAAGTTTATGACGTTTTTTCTTCCTGCAGAAATCCACAAAATCACCTGATTTTTGGGGGGTTCGGCAAGGAAATCTATCCTGTTTTGCTGTGACCTCCTGCCCAACCTCTGAGGATGCCAAGGGAAAGGTTAGTGCAGTTGCTCATGTTCTTCATGCCGCGCCCGGGGAAACCGCCAACTTTTGAAGAGTTCAGCGAATTTCAGCAGCTCTGCGAAGAGCTTCAGCAGCTGATGCCGCAGGAGGCTAGAGAATGCATCTTGGATGTTTCATTAAGGTAAAAGTCCTGTTTTTTTTTCCCCTGGAGGGATGCAACTACGAGAATTGGGATCACCCGAGATTGTTGACATGTCCATTTGGTTACTGTAATTCACCAGTTCCTCAGTTCGTAGTGGGATCCATATAAGCATAACTGGTTTTAGCCAAGAATTGTTTTTTTGGTTCACGCAGCCTGGGTACTTACAGTATCTAAATGTATCTAATATGACTCTATACTTGGAAGCCAACTTGTGAAAGGTAGCTTCAGCACCAGAAAAAACAAAGTGGAACGACTCTGTGGTGGCCACATTTCTTAGTTTACTGTGCATCCTGGACTGTTATGAGTCTGCAATTTCGTTTGAGGGTTAATCGATGTTAATCGAGTACCCATAAGTTGGGGTCTGCTTCATCAGAGCCTACCCGTCTCGGTAATCAGGTAATCCAACATCGCCATGGACAATGACCTTTATTTACTCATGGATCTATGGTGATTTTCCATCGTTCTGTTGGAGGGTACAGTTAGGTGGTAAACCCTTCGGTACGGAAACCTTGCTATGGGCAATCACTATGGATAATATTGTAGATAAGGGGAAATTTCCCCTGACATGTTTGATTCCTGAACTGAGTGTTCAATCCTTTTTGGTGGTATGATGTGGTATGGTAGGGTACCTCAAAGAGTAGGATAAGCATGGATCAGACACACGTTTTGTTTATTCCACTCCAGCAGTTTTTGTGGTTCTGGGGTGGCCACAGTTTTCCTCAGTTCCAAGGCATGGAGAGGACCAACGGGAACTTCCTGCAACATGTGCTGCAAACCATGCCTGGCAGCCAAATAAAGGCGCCACAATCGGAAGGGCAGCCTGCACCCTCTTGAGATGAGCACAATGCGAAAAAGTGGCCGGGCTGGCACGGGTGGCGATGCTTGGATGTTCCTGGAACTTGGTACAGTAAATGATGTGGATGGGTAGAAGTTAGCAACATGATAAACCCTCAGAATTGAATCTGAATGGAATTTGGACATGTTTCTCATATACCAAGCGATAAACCATGGTATCCAGATGTACAGTATCCAGGTCATCATCCCAGGTGCCACGGAGATGCTTCAGACAGGGTCATTGGGGTGACTTCAGAATGTTGGCCGGAATGCATGGTATCTTGAGATATTCAGAGACCTTTTGCACAAGATGTTTGGTGTCAGATAGCTTCATTTGAATTCGAAGTCTCTGGCAGGACTGCTTGAATCTAAACGTCTTTGTTCCGCATCTCGGCGGTGAAATCTGTTTTTTTTGAAGCATACATGCTGATCTCTAGTGACTCTAGTGATAGCGCAATTCAAGACAATTCAATAAGGTAGAAACTGGAAAGAGCCCCTTTGGATTAAACAGTGGAAGCCACAACCATGACCAATCCATTTCGACCTATTGCTTTTTTTTTTGTAAGCCCTGGGTCAGCATATTTGCTTATTCTCTTGCCACACATGGAGACCGTTAGATATTAGGGAGTGTTGTTTTGCTGCATCAAAAGGTTATAGCCAGTGTTGGTGCCACATCAATCCCTTCCCAACAATTCGCAGCTAGTGAGCAGCGAGGTCGAAGTATTTGGATGGCACTGCCAGACTTCCAGTGATCGTGTGGATTCACGGTGGTTCGAATATCGAGGGCTCCGTGGAATTCTACGGTCCCATTGAGATTCCTTGCTGAGAGTGTTGGATGGCTGGTCATCAAATCCCGCACCTCATATATATATATATATATATAATATATATATATACACACATGTAATATATTTTTCTTTACACACACACATATCTATATATATATATATTATTATATATACTTGTACATAGTGAAGCACAAGCAAGTTCATAGATCCGATAGCAAACGCCCGGGTTTCTTGAGGATGCTGGTGAGCTATTAATGGAAAAGGGGCTCCTGTTCACGTGAAAAGGATTGAAAAGGCATAATAACGAAAAACGTAGCCACAAGCGTGACAATCGTTTCATAAGGAATATGCAGCTAGTTTCTGGATCTTTCTGGAGTGTTTGTGCGTATGATGCCACCCGACTTGGTGTGGTTTGGTGTAACAAGTGAAGTGTTATTGCATCAGATTCCAGCCACTATAAAACATTAAATCACATCCTGTGAGGCATGGGTTCACACCACCAACTAGGTTCTTCAGTTGCCCTGCCAGCGAACAGTTCCTGACCGCTTATGACCAGGAGCATCGTTCAGAAGCGCGACTGCGTTTTGGTGGCCATGAATTATCGGCTGGGCATATTTGGCTATTTGGCCTTGAGAGAATTGGCAGATGCCCGTCTGGGAGGATGGGTGGACAACTTCAAATTTGAACTATCTTCGGAAGGTCAACTGGACAGAAAAAAACTTTATGATCGATCACTGGCTGAGGGTCTTAGATGGACAATTATTATGCGTTCAGAAAGTGGCACCCAAGGAGGTTGACCCACGAGGAAGCAGCGGAAATCTGGGCATCACTGATCAGCAGCTCGCACTGCACTGGGTGCAGCAGAACATTTTGGCGTTCGGCGCCTTGGTTTGCCCAGGACCTAGTCTGGTATTTCATGCTATTCCATTGTAAATAGCTCAATAGAAACCCGGGGAGATCCTATTTTTTGCATGTCTCAGGCGATTTTTCCAAGATGTTTGCCCCTAGATTGGTTTGTTGGTTAGTATTATTTTTGAGCTGGACACCTACAACCAAGTCTGCAAAGACAACTTGTTTGGGTTCCAAATCCATTTCTATGCTGCATATGACCTTGAAGAGCGGTCCGTTCTTGTTAGGAAAGGGGATTGTTGCCTACTCTTGATAATGATTCTCAACTTTGTTTCCATCCATTGTGTCATGGGTGGGCTTGTGAATTGATGAATTAGTGCGACAGCGTTCTGATTGCATCCTTTGAACCTATAGAACACCAAGCACTCACAGTGCTTCACTCTGTGTAGAGTGCCACATGATCCCATTAGAATTCCGGCACGTTCACATGCAACCCCAAGACTTGGGTCCAGCGGGTGATGAAAACCACTGCAGATTTCCTGATCACCATTCACAACTCAATGCTTCCCGCATTTACTTTCAAAGATAACTGCTTCACTTGGATGTGCAGGCCAGCTGCCAGTGGCATGCCACATAGGTGATTGATGACCCCCCAAAGAAATGCCATTGATCCGTTTGATCCCATTTATTTCCATTTATGATGTAAGAAAATATGGTATTTCCACTTTATAACCACAGCCACTATCCAACTGCCTACCTTCCAACTTCAGGTGGAGATCCCAAGCATGTGACCTTGCTGGGGCAGAGCTCGGGTGGATCCAACATTCACGCGCACCTCGCCTCACCATCTAGCCGCGGTCTGTTCCATCGCGCCATCTCTTTGTCAGGAGCGTATTGCGACAGGCGTCCTGGAGATTGGGATACCCCAAGCTGGAAAAAATCCGTAAAGAATAAAGGCATAGGCCCCCTGAGTGTCAGATGTTGACCAGCATAGCTGGGCTGCTACCGCGGCCAACAGCAAACACCCTCAAGCCATCTCAAGCCTAGATTGTCCATGTGTTTCATGCTAGCTACGCCACCGATAAATGTGGACATACGTCATCCGGGTAAGGTATATATTATATATTATATATTTTATATATAATTATATATATATATATATGTGTGTGTATGTGTGTGTAGCCGAATTGTGTATAGATAACGCGGTAAATATATTTCATATGACTTCATATATTTCATGCAATGCAATATCATTTATATAAACATAATATTTAAACATAATATTTATAAAACATATATATATATATATTATATTATATTTAAACCATCGGGCGAAGCCTCACTAGTCGAATGTGCCAGCAGGATCACCCAACATCACCATGGATCGAAAGACCAAAGAGGATCAGGACCGACGCTTGATTCTTCCAGAGACTCCCTGCGCTGGGATGTTTGGAGAGACATTGTTGGATTGTTTATACACTGCTGATGCGCACACTTTGGACAAAGCCTTGCCAAGTTCTTACAAAATCTTCGACTCTTGGAGCTGCTATGAGCAATTTTGACAGCCTCAAGTGGGGGCAGATACAGTACTTCCATGTACTTCCCATACAACGATGATGTTGCCGTAAGTGTGTGGTTGCTGATGATGCTGATGGTCGTACCTTCCATTTTTCTTGGCCTTCGGGAGATTCCAAGGAACCTCTCTACGACTATCCCAACACCAGCCAGGGCATTGCCTCCCGTGCCAGTGCTTTGCTTTACGTGGACGGTGTCACGGTGAGTGCACCGCCAGAGGAGGCGCTGCGCCAAGGGATCAATGATGTGCCACTTTTGCTGTCGAGCACGCATCTGGGCCGTCTCGAGTTTTCCGGGCGGAACAGGCAAGAGAAACTGGCAAGGAAACTGATCGACCGTCGGTTTATTTTCCCAGCTTCGATTTGAATCCTCGTGAGCTGTGGCCCTATTTTCTGGGGTTCTCTTGGAATTTGGGTGTGGGGACCTTGGCTTGAATGAATTCTATCAATTATTTGGAAACCTCCAAGGTTTCTCAAGATGGTGTGGTTGTAGCGGGGAACTTCTTGGCTTTGGGATCCTCACAGTTTCTCAACCATCCATCATGTTGAATAACCATCACATCATGGGGCCACACATGTCCCACGTTTCACGGGTTGCGATTCAACTCGCCCCAACCACCAGGCCTTTCCCAGAGTACGCCTTATTGAAAAGATTCAATAATGATCGACAGTTTCAACATGGAGGTCTAATTTCAATATATATTGAAATTTTCCCTGGATTCCCTATTGAAACAGGGGTGCATTTTCTATTGTATTTTTCAACAGAGCTGTGTTGTATTTTTCAACATGGTTCTGTGTTGAAACCTTTCCAACTTGGTTCATCCAATGCATTTTTTGCTCATCTTTGCTTGCTCTGCTACTTGTGAAACTTTGTACAAAACTATATACATCCTGCCAAGATTTCAGGCCCTTTTGCAGGGCATGGCCCCTTTTCAGGGCAGCCCTTTCTCAGGGCAGCCTTTTCCAAGGCATTTCCCAATGTTAATCACTTTCTATATCTTGCCATGAAAAATCAGCTCCTTGGATCCTCAGGTGAAGAGCTAACCTGTAGCTCCAAGTGACCTTACTGGCCACCTGGTAGGGGGCAGTGCCACTCAGGCAGGAATGAGCAAGGGCTGATAGGTGGCCCACCATTGTTTCACCAGCATAACAGGAATAAAATTTAGGATTGAACCACTGAAAGACACTTGCTAAGTGCTCACACAAGTGGAACTTGGGGGTCACATTCCATTGTAGAATTCCTTGCTGGATGCTCAACACTGACAGCCTGGAGTAGTGTAGGAGGCAAAGGTTCATGCTTTTTTTGAAAGAAGTTGCTTCTTCCCCTGTGGGATGCATGCCACTGCAGTCCATGATTGTGTAGAGCTGGTTGAGGTGCTTGACAGTTTGAAACCGATGTACACTGTACTTGTCCTCTGTACGCTGGAATTCCAAGCATATCTCTTCCAGCACAGGTACCAGCCACCTGCAGTGTCTAGCCTTCACCCCTGTCAAAGTAGGAAACTGATCATGCTTGCTCTTTGGAGAACAGAAAGTAGAGAGTGTCAGCTTCCTGATCCTGTCACTGGCCTCAATGCCTTGCTCTTGGTAGAGGGCGCAGATTTTCCTAAAGAGGTAGGTCAGTCTCTCATTCTGTGTTCCTGGCAGGCCTGGCTTCACAACCAGGTCAAAGAGGACATTGGCCAGCACATGTGCTGTGAGGCCTTCCTCTAGCACATGTAGGGTGTCATATTTGAAGCTTTCACCAACCACACCTGGAATGGTGCTGATCACATGATCTGTAGGACATGTCCCTGCATGCTCCACCACTGTAGCCCTCCAAGCTGCAGTGGGCCTGAAGTCATTATAGGGGAGAGTGCTTTTGTTTGCTGAGCAATTGAAGCACATCTCCTCATGTGATGCACCTTTCAGCTGGAACTCATTCTGGGGGTACTCACCATCTGCCTGCACTGCCCAGATGCAAGCTCTGAAGCCTTCTCTGCTCAAAGGTTGACCAGCCATTTGCTGTCTCCAAGACTTTGCTGGCCAAGGGTTCCCTGCATGGTCAAATTCAGGAAACTTGTTGTAGAAAGCAGCTTCCCAAGACCATTGGAGTACTTGCCAAAGGACCTTCATGGTGTCAAATGCTGCATCATCAGGGCTCTTGTTGATGGCACCCTTTGGCAAAGCCAGTAGCAAGAGCTGGCTTGAAGCAACATTGAGGCTGGATAGCAGGCTCCTCATGCTGATCACATTGATGCTATCATTTCGCTGGAATTGGCCCCCATCTCCATGTAAGCCACAGGGCAAGCACTTATGTCTGTGCTCCTTAGCCAATGCATGTAAACCACAGAGGAAAAGGTTGCCTTTTTGGATTTGGATGCAAAAGTGGCAGTGACAAATGGCACTCTATGCTGCTGAGTCTCTTTGATAATGTTGTTCTTCAGCTGTGGGTCTTTTGGGCTGTGTTCTTTCCAGAACTCTTCAACATTTTGCAACCCTGACATAGCTTGGTCTTGGCCACAAAGCCAATAAACCCACTCATGTGGTAAGAACATCCCTATTTTCTTCTGTGCCACATACAGGCCATCTGCTGTTCTGAGCTGCACAGGAGTCTCCACAAAGTAGGGCATGGGCAAGTCTATGTCAGTGCTTTCACAGTACTTGGATTGCAATTGGTGGGCAATGTGGTTGGGATTCTGGCCATGGTTGCCAAGGGATGCAAGCTCCTGGATATCACTGGTGGATGCCCCTGACTTGCTTGCAGCCAAAGCAAGTGCTTGGATGGAAGGCCCCTCAGTGCAGCCACTGGCAAAAAACAAACAGCACATGCAATCACATTGGTCCTTCAGCCAGACAACTTTTGAATAAACTTTGGCAAGGAGCTGACATGCCATTTGCAAAGTGCTCCAGCAGGCAAGACCCTAAGGGTGAAAACTCTTGGCACAACATGGTAGAGCTGCTGGCCTGCTCTCGTTTTTTCCTTTTCCATTTTTCTCTTTGGTTGGCCATTGCTTTTTCACACAGCTTTGCCCTTTTTCAAGGCAAGAATAGCCCTTCTTCAAGGCCAGAATGGCCCTTTTTCAAGGCCAGCCATTCAGAAGAGTTGAGCCAAACAGCTTTAAAACACCATGGGGAAACTGATTTGAGTGCCACAGGGGCAGTCTTGCCTGCTTTTGTTCTTCAACCCTTCCCCACAAGCAGAAAACCATTTTTCCCAACTTCTCAAGCAAACAGTTTCTGTGCTGCCCAAAGTTTTTCAATGCATAGCCCTTTTGCAAGGCTTTTGCCCTTCTTCAAGGCCTTTGCATTCTTTCAGGATTCATTTCTTTTCCACAGCCTTTTCTGCTCTCTTTACAGCCAGTGCTGCTTCACAGAGAGTGTCCTTGGCAACTTCCAGCTTGACCTTCTGCCCCTGCTTGCTAAGTTTTTGCAACTCAACTTGGCAACTCTGCAGTTCCTTCTGGTGCTTTGCTGCCTTGCTCCCTGAGCTGCCCTTTGCAAGGCCAGCATTGATTTGCTTGACCAGCTTGAGCATCTTCAAGATTCTCTTGGCTGTGAGCTCTTTGCTTTTGCTCCCCCCCATGTCTGACAGGAGGTCAGCTTCCTTTGCAGCTGCATTGAGCTTTTGTTTGCTATTTTCTTCCTCATCTTCTGCATCACCTTCTTCATCTGACTCTTTGTCTTTGATAGCTGCAAGCTCTTTAGCCTTTTTTTTGGCACTGGTGGGGAGGACATCATTCAAGGCATTTGCTGCCAGCCCTTCCTCAGGGCTCAACATGGTGCCAGCCTTTCTGGCTTCCATCCATTGGATGGCTTCCAGTTTGGTGGCAGCCTCCAAGTTCATCTCATGCTTGGACTGCTTGTCACTGTAGACAATTGCTGTCTCCAGGCAGAACTGCCACTCTTGTTGGTCCTTTGGGTCTTTTCTGACCCTGATGGACCCCCTGTTCACCTCACCATATGCCAGCAAAGGTTGGCATTCCAAGTCAGGGGGTTGAGTGCAAGATGTGCAATGCATATTGCTGCCAGGGTGCTCTCCTCATGGCTTCCTGTAATCCAAACCTTGTCAGTATGGCTTGGAATGGCACCCATTCCTCTGTTTCCCTGCTGCCTCAGAGAAACACACTCACAAGTCACAAGCAAGCAGCAGGAGTGATGGCACTCAGAACACCCATTGAAATTTGGGTTCTGCCAGCCAAGCTGCCTGAAACTTCGGTCAAGGCAACCAACTCTTTGTGGTAGATGCCAGCCTTCTTCAGATCACCCCTGTTCTTCAAAAACACAGCCAGCAACTGTTTTTTTTCTCTTCACTTCCCTTCCCCTTACAGTGGGTGTTCCACAGCTCTGTGGCTTTGGGATCCTTCAAGGCATCCCTTGCCCTGCTAAAGCGACCCCAAAGGGCTTCTCTCTGGCCAGGGGTGAGGCTGTCAAGGAAAGTCTGAACATTTCCATTGGCTTTTTTTTGGAAGGTTTCCATCTTTTCTTCCAGGCTCAGGTCTGCCTCATTTTTTGGTAATTTCAAAATGGAACTGGGCCTTTTCAAAATGCCTGGCCCTTTTGCAAGGCTTTGCCCTTTTGCAGGGCTTTGCCCTTGTGCAGGGCTGGTCTCTGTTTGCTTTGTTTTTTTTGGGGTAGCTTTCATGGCCTTCATTGTCTTTCCCATTGCCTTTGCCCTTCTGCAAGGCTTTGGGTTGAGAGGTTGCCCTTGGCAAGGCCAAAGAAAATTGCAGGTTTCAACCTTGAGCTTTTGAAAGCTACAGATTTCAAAAAAAAATGACACCAATCATTTCTACCCAGAAAACTGCCACCCATCATATGACATCATATGATGCAATATGATGGCACCACCCATCATATGATGGCCACAACCCATCATATGATGGCCCAAGCCCATCATATGATGGCCCAAGCCCATCATATGATGGCCCCACCCATCAAATGACATCATATGATGCAATATGATGGATCCACTTTTTGTGGTCATTTTGGAACCTGTGCCAAACTGATTTGATTTGAAAAAACAATGCAGACCTTTTCAAAATTTTGGATTCCACTTTGAACTGTTTTTTTTGTGGTAATGACTGGACTGCTCATTTTTTCAATATATGTTTCATTCAGCAATCAGTGGGCTATTCATGCCCAAGCTCCCCAGCAACCTCTTTTTTCTCAACTGCTCACAGTGCAGGAGGTGGCCCAAAGTCCCTTTGGAACTTTTTCAAAAAATAGAAGCCCTTACCCAAGGCTGGCCCTTCCTCAAGGCTTTGGCCCTTCTTCAAGGCTTTAGCCCTTCTTCAAGGCTTTCAATTTTTTCTTCTATTGCCTTTTCTGGCTACTTCAACCCAGCTACCCTCTTCCTCTTTCACCTCAGGTGCAGCCTTTGGCCCAGGCCTTCCTTTATTCTTAGGCTTGGCACCTTTTGGACCCCCCCTGCCTTTGCCTGGTGGTGGGGAAGGGCTGGACTGCCCACTGTTGGAGCTGCTGGTGCTGCTGCTTTGCTGGTTCTGCCCTTTCTCAAGGCCTTTTGTTTGCCCTTTTTCAAGGCCTTTTGCATGCCCTTTCCCAAGGCCTTTTGCTTGCCCTTTCCCAAGGCCACTCCTCTGATCCCTGGGTGGTCCTGGCAGAGAAATATGGGAAGTATACCTGAAAATTGGACAGCATGGATTTGAAAAAAGGTGCAATGAGAAAACCAGACAGTCCTGCAGCATTTGGTTCACTTGCCTGTGCTGCACCTGCCCAAAAAAGTATGAACTGAATGGGCATTGCACAAAAAAAGGTATGAAGTATGAACTGAACTGTGCACACTCTCATGGCCAGGCCTTTGGGGCTTGGAGGCTGGGATGCAGCTGCTTGGCTGGTACCATACCCATAGCCACCTGCCACAAAAAAAAGTGCACATGCAAATTTGAAAACAAAAAACAGCATGAGTGTAATGCCACCTTGTGCTGGCCACTGTTGTGGCCACTGTTGTGGCCACTGCTGTGACCACCCTTGTGGCCATTGGTGTTGCTGCCACTGCTGCTGCTGTTGCCATACCAGCTGCTGCTGGTATGCTGCCCCTTGTTGGAAAGCTTCTTGCTTCTCCCTCTCAGCTTTCTCTTGTTTCTCCTTCCTCCCCATCATCCTTTTGAACTTGCTTTGGCCCATAGCAGCCAGTCTTTGGACATACTCCTCATCCTTGTTTTTTGGCAGCCCTTGTTTCTCCTGCAGGATTTGCAGCCTTTGCCTCATATGGGCACTGCCTGAAGTCAGGCTTTTGCCATGTTCATCCCTCCTCCACCTCCTTTCCCCTCCATCTTCCCATTTTTCTTCTTCCCACCTCCCTCTGGTCTTCCATGTGGAAGCCCATTCTTTTTCTTCCTTGTCATCCCCCCAGCCCTCCCACTCTTCCCACCCATCTTGCCACCCTTTTTCCCACCCATCATCACTCCAGCTGTTTCTGGCCATTGGGGCCTTGCTTTTGCTCCTGCTTCTGCTGGGTGACTTAGGTGGTGAAGGCCTGGAGTAGTCAGGGCTGGAAGGGGATGATACCATACACTGCCCTTACACAAGGCTTGGCCCTTCTGCAGGACAGAATGCCCTTTTCAAGGCAAGTCAGATTGAAGTGCCCTTTCGCGAGGTTTGGCCCTTGGTCTTGTTGCAAACCAAGGAAGCCTTACAGCTTTAGCAGCTTGAGCCCAAAATTGAAACAGAATATGCAACATTGTTCAGGTTGTACTTGGTTTTGCTTACACAACATGTTGCTTTTGGCTTGGCAGCACCTGGCCATGTATTGCAGCACCTTTTTTTCACTCATGTATGCAGAAGAGTGGTGCTGCTGTATGTACAATATTTACAGCTTGCACAGCCCTTATACAAGGCTACTGCCTTGTGCAAGGCTTTGGTGTGTGCTTGCACAGCCCTTTTGCAAGGCTACTGCCTTTATTCAAGGCTACAGCCCTTTGCAAGGCAATCCACATCATGCCTTTTCATATTTTTGAAACAGTTTCAACCTGGCAGCTGATACTGAGGCCTTGGTGGCACCAGCCTGCTTGCAAGCAGGCAAGAGCTCCTCCACCAGCTGCTTATGGGAAACCTTGAGCTTGGCAGCTTGGGCCAAAGACACACTGACCACAAGCTTCTTGACAGTGTTTGGGCCAAAAGGCATGTGTTGTATGTAGGACTGGTTCTTGCCACCACCTATGCTCAGGGTCTCCTGGGCAATTGGGGTATCTGGCCCCAAGCCTGTGTCACCTGGCTTCTTTTTCACTTCTGCTGCTGGTTTTTTTCCTGCTGCTGGTTTTTTCTTGGCACCGTCCTTCTCTTTACTTCCTTTCCCAGCAGGCCTTTTCTTCACAGGCTTGCCAGCCTTTTCCCTCCACATAGCTTTGGTCACAGGAGGTGGAGACCCAAGCAAAGAGTTGCTGGGTGCAGCAGAAGCTTCAGAAGCTTCAGAAGCTTCAGAAGCTTCACCATCAGAACCATCCTCTGCCTCTGATGCAGAAGAAGTGGCCAACATTGCAGGGAAGCCATCAGATGCCATTGTAACATCTGACACCTCTTTCTTCAGCTTCCTCTTGCCTGGTGACCCACCAACCTTTTTACCAGTTTTTTTGTATAGACCAGTGAGAACTTGGAACTGTGCTGTGTCAAGTTTGGTGCCAAACCTTTCCCAACCTGCTGGACTGGCTGTCACCCTCCTCCAGTGTTTAAGGAGGACAAGTATGCTGTCAGCAGCCCTCCCAGGTAGCAAAGCTGCTTCCACCTCCCAGTACTTGTTCAAGAGTTCAGCCCCAAACTTGTGGACAGCCACAGTCAGACTGTGTTTCAGATTCCTGTACCTGATTTCTGCACTGGGGCTGACTTGCACCAATGCTTTGAGGAGAGGGTGCAATTTGAACATGGCTCTGGGGATCTCAGCCTGCTGTGGCTGGAGATGCCCGTAGTCCAGCAGGTTCAATGCTTCTTGCACACCAATCTGCCTGATGTGGCTGTCAAGGGCATCATCTAAAGCATCCTGGTCAACTTCAGGGAAACTTTTTCTCAGCTTGGGCTGTGGGTTTCCTGCACCTTTTTTCTTGACTGGTTTCATCAGGGCCATGCCCTTTTTCAGAGCTTTGCCTTTCTTCAAGGTTTGGCCCTTTGCAGCAAATCAAACAATGAAGCAAAGTTTCAGCTTGAGCCTGTACTGCAAGGGAAATGCAAGGGAAACAGCCTGACACTGCACACCAATTGCCCTGCCCAGTGCTGTGTTTCAATGCCACACTGTTCTTACATGTCAGCTTGCTAGCTTTTCTCCCCTTTTTCAGCAGCTGTCTCCAATCTATGCCCTTTTCAAGGCAATTTTACAGCCCTTTGTCAAGGCAATTTTACAGCCCTTTTTCAAGGCAAATTTACAGCCCTTTTTCAAGGCAATTTCAATGCCTTTTTTCAAAGCAATTTCAATGCCCTTTTTCAAGGCAATTTCACCTAGCTGGACATTTGTCTATTGGGTTCCAATATTTAAAATAGGACCCACTTCTTTGGAAGGTGTTTCTCCATTCCCTTCCACATTTCCAGCACCTAATCCCCCAGTCTGGTTTGCCCAGGTTCCTCCTCCACAGCCAGGCATCACAGGACACAGTCTGGCAGTCCAAGTACTCCCGGTAGGCCATGGCCTCTTGCATGGTCCCAGGAAGAGGGGGTCTCATCAGCATGTCTAAAACATCCAGCTGTGCTTCATCAATGTTTTGCTCTTCCTCCATGGCCCTTCTTCAAGGCAATGCCCTTTTCAAGGCACTGCCCTTTTTCAAGGCTTAAAAAAGGCGACTCAGGAGCTTGGGCCAAAAAGCTAGGTTCCAGGGAGACCAACTTCTGCTGCCACTGTTTGTTGCATGGCCATTTGAAAAGAAAGCAGTTTGAAACTCAGCCAATTTGCAACAGATTGAGAACAGCCATTTCACCTTATTGAAACAGCATTTTCCACATATGTTGAAACATGTTTCAACATCAATTTCAACATGATATTGTTGTTTTTTTCAATATGGTATGTTGAAATTTTGATGTTACCTCTGTTGAAATAAATTTCAATATCTATATTGTAATTTTCAATAAACCCTTCATTTCAATATATGGATCAAATTTCAATAACTATATTGAATCTTTTCAATAAGGCGTACTCTGGGTTTGAGATGTTTTGATATGCTTTGAATTTGCCAAGGCAAGCTGAAATGGGCTGTGCTCCCGCACTGCAACTAGCAAACCTCACTCAGCAGGGCTTGAGAGATTTCTACCAGCAACAGTTTGCGCCTGAGTGTCTTGGCAAGATGACTGAAGGGGTGGTTCTAATCCAGTGATGAATTGGTGGTATTTTGTTCCGTTCAATGTATATATATATATATATATATGTGTGTGTGTGTGCGCATATACATTTATATTACACTGCCATTTCTGTGAGGAGGTATGTCCTTAATCAGCTCAAACATTTGCTCACTTTTGTCTAAGATTGGCCATGAACATGTTTGAAATCTCGCCCCAAAGCTGGTCAAAACAGGTGTTAACACTTGTTAATAATCGCTAAACTATTTTAAAATGGGTGAATTAGAACAATCAAGTCATCACAATCATTTGAATGCTCAGCATCCTGAACCATCACCTGTAAGTGGATTGGAAGGCACTAGGCACTTTTCTTGTATGCCAAGGGAGGATGTTTTAACAGACTGCAGAATGATGACCCCGGACTGACTGCGCCCTGGCCTGGTGGGCAACCACCCATGATGACCCAAACAGCAACCGCCAGGTATGGAGAAGACGCTGCGAACATGGTTTACGCATCTGGGCCCGAAAGTGGCGATGGGACTGGTGAAAGGTGGATGGGGTTGCTGGGCAAGATGTTTTTGTTTCGAGCCATAAAAATCCAAGGAGTAGATCATTAGAGAGAGAGAGAGAGATCATGTCCTGCTAAATGTTAAATATTTTCTGCCTGCAGGTATCCAAGACAATGAGAGAGTCTCACTTTTGGCTTGGGTCGAACTTTAATATCTTTTAAATCATCATTGACAGCATGAAACCCACTTAGATGTCAGCACCTGACCACATGGAAGGTGAATGCTGTAGGGGGATAGATTGCACATATGATGATCGTCAGGGTCACTCAATCTTTTATCATCTTTCATCTCTGAAATTCCCAGAGGAGGCACTGCATAAGCCTTCCATAGATTTGCAATTCCCGAAGGGGAATATGGTTCTTAAGTTTCTACCTCAAGCCCTCTTTTTTGGCAATGGGTTGGAACGTGTCGCATCTTCAGAGTGTCAGTCATTGCTTGCACAGATGGTTGCTGCAGAGAATGATTGCAATGGTTCGGTTGTGTTGAAATGACGTGCAGATCACCATCTTCGCATCCAATAATGCTTTTCTCATTTAAACATATTTAAACCCCCGTTAACTCATTACAGTTTGCTAACTAAGTAAGTCTTGCTAAGTAACCCTTTTTGTTGTTTCATTAGACTCCCCTTTCCTATGTTTTTTGGTTACTGATCAATACTGATCAACTGTCGCAGCTCTATGCTGTTTTCTCGATCGTTTTGAACCTCTCTGTCTTGTTTGGTCTCTACTTGCATGGTTTGAGAATTAGCTAAGTTGTTGGTAATTAGGGTGTAATGAAACCCCTTATTTGTATTTATTACCGTAATACCCCAGTTATTTGCAAAGCTGAATCCAAGTAGATGATCTTTCTATGATTTCTATGATGTTGCCACAGTTGCGCACCTTTTTCCACCTGGGTTATGACACATTCTGAAATTTGAGCATTTAGAACACCCATCAAACAATCGGTTTCATGGGTGGTCTATAGAGTTATCGGAGTCATAAACCAGCTATCATCAATCTTGGCTATAGATCCCATGAAATCCCAATTTTTCTTGTTTCAGTCGTCCATTTGTTCTTTGTGAAACGGGGTAGGACCTCTATGGCCACTATCAGCCCCCGGAGTACGCCGCCTACGCCGTGGACGCCGACACGGCTGTGGCCTGCGGGCTGCGGCGCTTGGCGCGCGCGGCAGGCGAAAACTTCAGATCTCCCGTGCCTCTTGGCTCGACACGTGGGTGGTGGTCACTGGGAGGATCATCCCATTTACCATCTGGTTATTTAACATAGCCATGGAAAATGGCCCATTTATAGATGGTTTACCTATTAAAAATGGTGATTTTCCATGGCGATGTTAAATAGCCCGAGGGTAGATCCATTTAGTAACTGGGCAATGACCATAGTTAAATTTATTTGTACTGAGTACAACTGTATCCAGCCAGACTATCAGCCCGCGTAAGGCTGAAGGTCGCATGGCGGCACGAGACATCTCAGAAGCCAGGTGAAAAAAGATAAATGTATATCCCTGATTTTTTAAGCGGAATAAGGCATTTCGGGGACTCACTAGACTTGTTAACCACTTACTAGGATGAATCCTCTAAGTAGGAGGGAGCTGCGGAGCTATGGGCACGTATAATCCTCCAAGATGTGGCAATACTAAAAGTAGCCCTTGGGCCTCACTAACTGATTGGCAAAAAGATTGGCTATTCTGACGACTATCATGATTGTCGTTGCTTTACTATTGGTCTTGAAACATCATGGGGATTAAAGTTAGGATTCAATGGGATATGAGTGGGAGATACGGTATTATATGTTTCATGTATATGTAATAGCGATTTACTCTTGAATAACTTTAAGATAGGAATGGGTCAAAATTAGGATACCCAATTGGCGGTGGAGAGAAAGACAATTTTGAATTGCGCACGTCGCACGTGTATATTATAGAATGAACCATCCATTTTGGGGCTTGGCAATTTGACTTTTGGGTGGTTTTTGCTTGTTCGGGCCCCACTTGAATCATCTTTCTACTTGTTCATCCTACTGCAGAAGGATAAACCTGCCATGCCTCAGGTATTGGGGAACAGTAACAGCAGCACCCAGCAGAGATCTCAAGGGACAGCGGTTTGCGTACCACAACTGGGATTTCACTGCAGCTGCAGAAGTCTTCACTCACTATGACAAGCATTACCAAGCATCACAGAAGGACATGGCAAAGGGATGCGAAGGGAAAATGTTGGGCGCTAGCTCTCGTTGGATCGATCGGGATGCAATATATGATGCAACCACATTCCGCAGGATCCCACTGGAATTCCACTGGGGCCAAAAACCAACGTGCGCAGATCTTCACCAGTCGTTTGGTATGCCCCAAGGATTTTGCTATACATTGGACACGCTTTCCACATCCACCATTCGAGCCAGGACCTCCCTTTGGGTGCTCGCTTGCGGGCGGATTGGTTCAACTTCATTTTGCACGGAGAGATCTTGGACTGGAAAAAGGTGCAAGATTCCGAGCCTGGACAAGTGATCGGCGTAGTGCTGGGAGAGAACGGACCCTTGGTAGCACCGAGTTGTGCCATTTGTTCGTGAACCATGGGCTGCACCAAATAGCGCTCGACGGCTTTCGTGTTACTTTTTCTATCTGATAGTATCTTTTACCACTTATCGGACTTATCGGAGCATTTGAAATTGTACAACCATCGTGGTCACTGTAGGTACGGATCAAAGTCTGTTGCGCCATCTTGGAAAATCCAAACCTCCGGGATCCCATGCCTTAGACCAAAAAGGCCAGCATGTTCAAGCGATTAAGATCAGTAAACTAACATAGCTATGAATAGCTATGAAACATCCCCAGATATAGATGATTCTGGGGCGTAACCGCTTTCTGGACATTCATGATGTGGATTTCACAAGTTGACCCAGCCGTTAGACGCATACCCAGCATATCCCAGCATTGAGTTTTGCCCGGCTCAGGAACCCAGTGGTACCCTGATCACAAAGCGTTGGAGTGCGGCTTTTGGAACTCCATTGGAGTTGATCAACGCTGGTGGTGGATCAATTGAGCACCGTTCTTTCCTGTGCGGACAGACAGTGCCCTCAAGAGAAAAAATGTGATGGGAGGTGCATGTGCTTGTCGAGCCTATAGGTAACAACTCTCTGAAAGGGCTGTGTATGCTTCATTTAGCCAAAAGACTTGCGGTGTTAATTGCAATGACGGTGAGTTTTATCAAGTATCGCATCATATTATGCTTACCAACACATGATGCTTACAAAAATTAAAGCAACCATGAATATTGATTTTACGTATATCAAGATACAATGTGAGGAATTGAACGTGTGCAATGTGCAGATATGAACATGGTCCCAAGGCCATTCAAGCCTGCTCTCTTCCACGGCCATTGCATGTGAGGAGCTGGGATAGAGTTAAAAGCATGGCTCAAGGTGTGAGGCAGAGGAAATCATATGTGATGGTTAAAATATGTTTTTGCATTTTTTTTGATCTCTGGTGGTTTTGTTTATTGGTGTTTTACATGTTTTAACTGTTTTAACCATCAAAATGGGATGACGATCCCCAGTGGCTAAGGGTTTTCAGGGCTGACACCAACTACCAACCATTTTTTTGGAAACCCATTGGCCCATACCCATATTTCAATCTGAATTAGCTGATGTGTTGGTTACCTACCACCACAGGTTCCACCATGGTTGCATTGGAGCTTGCTGTGCTGGTGACATTTCAGGATTCGCCATCCCCTGATTTAGAACCCCCCAAGCACTGATTTTTAACCCAGCTATGGGATACCACGGGACACCCCACAAAGTTTTACCACTCAAAGATTTTCCAATTATGGAGTTTCATGGTTGGTCATGTTGGTCATCGTTCTTCGTGCAATCACAGCCACATTTCAGACTGCATCTCCCCAATCCCCAGCTATGACTGTGAGCTGGCGTCAGGAGGCAGCCCAGTTGCAGAGCCAGAATGAGGCGAAACACTGGGCTGAAAGAAAAGGGTTCTGTGAAAAATTGGTAGGAACCCAAACTTACAATTTTCAGAGGAACCATGATGTAAGTACAGTAATTAATTTTGCAGGTGCCCAACTTTCAGACGAACCCAATATCTTCATTATAGTTTGAGCAGGGATACCAGTTTGGGTTTGTTGGTGCCTTTTTGTGTTTTGTGGTGTGCCCAGAATTGAGCCCTACTTATTTCATTGAGTTTAGACGTGCAACATGCAAACCCCTCAGTTTTCGCCAAGAGAAAAAATGTCACTTTGGGGTCAATTTTGGGTTCATCGAAGCCAACAAAAGGCCTGTATATAGATGTGCTTTGTATGATTTAGTATGGTTCAAAATGCCAAACAAACAGGGATAGCTATGCCTATGTTGCACTAGTATCAATACTCTCCATTAATTTGAGATGCTAAGAGCTATGGAAAATTGCCCATAGATGAAATGCCCCTATTCCTATGATTTTCCAAATGATGTTTTGTTGGCAGTATGTTCGATCCAACTGGGCCTTTATTCTCAGTTGCCGCAGGAGCGGCTGCCCACAGCTGCGTGACCCAGGGCCTAGGGATGCCTAGGGACCAATCGGATCGCTGGCTTGGCTTATCTTGGGATGCATCAATCGCGTAGAAGGGGAAAATCATCCCGAACATCAGCCACTCGGCAGGTACGAAGTGGGATCCGTGGTGAAAGCCATTTATGGGAAAAGTGTCCCAGCTGTGGTAAGATACGAGGTGCCGATTGGTGAGGAGCCATGTGATACCAAGATAAACATAGATATTCAATGATATTCATATAAACATGATGAAATGTCGGGATTCGATATACATATATATATAATTATATATATATGTATTTAATATATATATATATATATATATATATTTATGTAATATATATATATGATATATATATATATGATACATTAATATATTTACTGTAATATATATTAATATATATATATGATATTCTATATATATATATATATTTATAGATTTATATATATATATATTATGTATTTTAACTAATAATACATGACACACACAATATAATGTGCATGTTTCTGTTTGTTGCATTGCAAGCATCATGGCAGGTGATTTTAGGTGGCAGAACCAAATCAGGTTAGACCGCCTTTCGCTGCCCATTGCAGGTCCTCGCAGCTGGTCCTGAGCTTAGTTTCCAGCTGTGCCAGCTGTGATTTTGCTTCGATCTTTCTGGTGCAAAGGGGATGATGTATGATATGTTATAATATATCAATATAAATATATATATATATATATATATATTTATTTATTTATATTATTGCATGTCCTCATATATACAGCCTGGAGCCTTTACCATGTAAAAACATATACTGTATACACGATATATACAGTAGCTGGCGGTAGTTGGGTTTGATAGATTTGCGACTGAGCCCTTCATCGATTTAAGGCTCCCAGTCGGATCCATCATTTGTCAAGGTCTTCGCACATTCCCAGTCTCTTGCAGCCGACCAACACCGGTTGCTCACTAAGGTTTGAGCATTGACATCCTTCTGGAACCAGCCGGGCCGTTGACATCGGAAAAACAGTTGCCATCCTGGTGCAGGTGAGATGTCAGAAGGTATTGCTTATGAGTTTAGGCGTCGTCCATATCTTCTAGAATATTCTGTCTGACAAATTTGGCTTGATTGGTATCACTATTATTAGATGTTCTTAGCGTTATCATATATTTCTACCCCCTACCGTGATTCGTACAACGTTTTTTTATTATGGGCTGCATGTGGCCACTTTTGCTCAAGGACTGCGGTGCAGAGCTCCGGTCTCTGCAATTAATGGAGGAAAAGTGAGTTGGCAAATGGAATGATAGATCGGGGTGAAAGTGAGGGAGGTTTGAAATCAAAATCATCACGGCTTACTTTCCTTCATTGACTTTCTTGATGGATCAAGATGGATCAAATCAACTTTTGGTCTCACAATGGCTGCAGCATCCCTGTGACGTTTTGACGCAATTCCCTAGTTGCCCGTACACAAACGGTTCATCATTGAAGTCAATATACCCGTGACCAGTCTAAGAGCCTGCCGGGCATGGTCCAAACCCAGTTTTAGTGGGGGAGCGACATCATGGATTGACTTCCAAAATATGGGTTGTTCATGCATCCGTATTAGTTTTTTACACCTGTTTACTGTCCTAGACCCCAAAGTGCATAAGAAACAACCCAACACAACAATAAAAAATATATATATACCGTATAGCAACTCAACGAAAACTATACATATATAATTATATATAATTATAAAATTTACAAACTGCTTAAAGTTTTGAATTAGCCTTCACCATCCTTTAGCCGTCTCAAACACCTGCTGGAAAGGCCGACGGGCCCACCAGCGGAGCTGCCATGGATGGTGCGCAAGGAGGCCTTGCTGTCCCTGGTGCGCCATGGCGCGCGCGGCAGCCAAGAAGCCTTGAAGAAGTTGCTGCAAGAGGTGTGCTGCGACGTTCTCCCGGGAGAGCCAGAAAAACTGGGCCTGGGGTTTTAAATACAGCAATTCATGTATGACTTATCTTGACTCGCAATCTTTGAAAATCAGTTCTTCGGTCGTTGGTTTGCTGAAGGTGGTGATTACTTCAATATCATGATGAATCAACCATTTGAGGGAGTGTTTGGGAATAATTATTGTATTTTTTGTGTGAGGGGCTCCTCAAGCAAATCTAAGCGTTACACACCGCTTACAGTAATGCAGGATCCACAAGAATACCGATGATACCGCATCGAGAACCATCCCCTATCCGGCCCTACTTGTGTCCTATTGTGTGCGCAGTTTTTGGGGGGTAATTCATGATATTAATTCGCCATACCCCCAAATGGTGGATTTTTCTGGGGATGTTGCAAGGTGGTGCCCCCCCAGTTGTAAGTTGGCTTAAAAACACCATTAAAACTATAGTTATTAACTATAGTTATATCCCATAAACCCGACTTAACCAAGTTATGTGCGTCAACTTCGCAAACTATGGGGCACAACCTTGTGGGCTTCAGCAACGATCAACTTTTTGGATCCCATCGTGTCACTGCGCCTAGCACCCGAACGAGCTTCTCGAGCGTGACTTCCTGGGCCTGATCCGATGCTTGGGTCGAAGAAGCGCATGGCAAAGCTCCATCCAGGCCCTGAGATGGTGAGAGATCAATTGAGGATGGTTAGATAGCGGTGAATCATGCCCTCAAAAGATCTCAAAAGATACTGTGGTGCTTACTGAGAGAAATAGCTGGAAATCAAAAACACGACGTGAATTGAAAGATATGGAAAGTATGCAGGATACACAAGTTGGTGAAGTCATGATTCCAATGTCCCTGATACTCTTCGCCTTTCTCACCCCTGGAGGTCTTCGATTCCATGACACGGGCAGGGCACGAGCCGAAAGAATTGCATTACACGGCGGCCATGCGTTCCTGTGGCCTGACAGCGAGGGAGGTGACCTGCTGTTTGGGATGATGTTCCCACTCCAGGTGTTGCGGGTTTCATTACAATATAATTACTGTAGTGTAATATATATATATAAATACTAAATATTCCGTTCACAAGTAGTTACACTTAGTTGTACACATACACCATACAGTACATAGCCATAGGTCAATACTTGCTCAATAGATACATGTGCATATTGCACTAGATGCATTACATATATACACAGTAGATAGATAAACAAATAAATAGATATGATAGACACGACAAACAGGCGTTAATCAACATGAAAGCCATTTTCCCACATATACATAAATAGATGGATGGATAGATAGGTAGATAATGGCAGATAGATAGATAGATAGATAGATAGATGGATAGATAGATAGATAGATAGATAGATAGATAGATAGATGAATAGGCAAGTGGTTAGCTGGTTGCTTAGTTGGTTTGTTCGTTGGTAAATATGACAATCCCAAGAATAAACCATCGTCAAGATCAAGATCGTCATAAATCACTTGTATGGTAGCATGGATCATCCCAAATCTTGGTTTATGGCATCGGTTGTTTCCCACATTAGTCCTATAAACAGCTCGTTAGTTAGATAGGTAGTTGGTTAGTTCCTTCCTTAATTAGTTCGATCAGATTAGATAGATACATAGTTACTTAGATCAGACTAGCTAGTTAGCAACAGTTGGTTAGTCAGATAGTTAGATAGTTATATAGCTGGTTGGTTGGTTACTTTGTTACCTATAGTTAGCTTCCAGATCTTAAACGCACCTCATCCCCTCAGTGGGCCCAGCGTTTCCCCACGCCTGAGGCGCCCAAGGCGGTGCCGCCGCCGCCACTGCCCTGCGGCTCTTCGGAGAGCTGCCGGCGCCCACGGCGCCGGCCTTCACCGCGGCCATCGCCAGTTGCGGTGTGGCCAGGGAATGGGAGCAGCTTGGAGATGCGAAAGCCATAGGAACATCGCCAAACCTTGGGAAATGATGGGAAAACCATGGGAAAAGGATGGGAACATGATTTTTTAAGCACCAACGATGGGGATTTAACCATCAAACGTGATCAAACCTGGCAATTTCACAAAGCACATTAACGGGAAAAACCCTCAGCTTTTGATTCAATAGATTGGCTTTGTTAGGAACATATGAGGATGCGGGAAAGCCTTCTATTTGGGTGTCAAACCCCGGTTTCCGGTTTCGAATGCCCGTCTGTACTACCATGTATGTAGTATGGATGTTATATACCTAACTTCTCCAAGATTTAACATTATTGTTTTTCTGTGTTGATAGGCTGGAAACCTAGGAAATAATTTTGATTTCGCATTTTTTTCCAAGAAGTGAACCTTCCTGGGTGGTCCAAAAGGGTATGTTTAGGTTTCCCTCGAATCAATCCTTTGAATTATTTGAAGTTCATGCGGGAAAAATATGGGGATTGTCGTAGTGTAGCCACAAGCGGGGGAAATTGGATGGAATTGGTGCTTTCGCCTCTCTGTATTTACCACTCAATACCCTGTTGTCTCAGGGAAATTCAGGTATTTACCCCTGACTTAGGTGGTTTTTACATGCTTTAATCAAAACCTACACTTTGATGGAAAATGTTCTAACATGTCCCGATATCAGGTGGCAGGCAGGTACGCAATGATATTGCTCTCTTCATGTATGATGTGTTTGTCATGTTTGTCCTTGCACAGAGGCATTGTTACATGCCGAACCTTTCAGAATCTTTTTTATTTGTTCCGTGTGCAACATATACGGGTGATTGAAGGTTGCAGGTTGGGTCATGATTACTATATTTGGTTATATAACGTAGCTACGGAACATCGCCATTTTTATCCCAATCTTTAATAGGTAAATCATCATGCATCATCTAAAAATGGTTGATTTTCCATGGCTAGTTGCAGGTCACTCGCCAGGGCATGGCCAAAAAAATCCGAGGTTGGCGATCGACATGCTGCATGCAATGGCAAGAGCTCAACATCAACCAGACGCTTTGACGGAAAGTCTTACCATCCGGTCATCAATCATCAAAGGTGGGAATTGGAAATTCTGCTTAAATGGAAGGTTTAACGGGAAAATCATCCATAATAGAGAAATTGTCTATTGCCATGTTTGATAATGCTGGATTTCCTCAGGGTAAATTGGATCCTCAGATGGCATATTTCATTCAAGAAAACTGAGGAGAAGATGAAGATATTGCTGGTTAGGGTGGTCATTGTAGCGCCCGTGGTGCTGGGTACTTCTTGGACCACCCGCAAATTTTTATTTGGACGTTCGGGCGTTCTGTTGGTGTTCCTCACGCCAGAATGGTTTTGACACTACCTCATAATTGCTTTAACTTTACACATCAGAAAGGTATCCCAATCATTCCTAAGTGAAAGATCAGGAATTTACACATGACCGGCATCACGACCGGCTGAAAGATACAGGAAGAGACGCCTCGGGGCCCCTGTAGTCACCATGGCCCGCGCAAAATTTGAGGACCTGTTGGCCTTCAATGCAGTGCTGACGGTGTGCCGCCGGGCGCAAAAGTCCAAGTTGGCGCTGAAACTCATGGAGGCGATGCTTGGATTTACTATCGGTGGAGGCAGCGGTTTGGAGCTATGGGCATCTATCTATCTATCTATCTATCTATATATATTATATATTATATATGTATATGTATATATTTATATACATGTATCTGTGTGTGTATTCATGTTGCCAAGAAAAAATGGGGAGCCAGTTGGAGCTGCAAAAATTGTGGGAACCACATGAATGTTGGTGAAAGTTTGTTTGTTAGATAGAGATTTGAGCGGATTTACCTAGCCAATAAAGAGGGTGATTGAGCGGACAAATTAGGGATTTAGGGAATCTAACATTTTGTTCTTTAAACAAATGGGTATTGTATTTATTGAAAGATTGCAAATGTGGAGATTAAAGCGGTACATGTTTGACAATTCAAATTCACGGACTATTGATGATTTTTTTTTTGGATAATTTGTCCTGGAAAAATGGCGACTTGAATTGACCACAGCGTAGATGTCTAAAGATATCTTAACCATCGAAAGTCATCACATGTTGAATGCAACCTGCAAAACAGCTGTCAAATGCTTGACGTTTGAACCAGCACATGTTTTGGGTCGTGGCCTGAACAAAGCAGGATGGTTATATTTGCGATGTATTTAATCAAGAAGCGGTCCAATGATGGAGTGAGATCTTGGGTGAACTGTGCCAGGTGCAGGGTTACAAACCTGCGATGCAACGGGATTTGGTGATGGATGAACACCTCGATATTCCGATGAACTTCAAATATTTGCGAAATGTTTGTTGTGCAAATTTTGAGTTTAACCCATGAAAGCGGTGATATGAATATGCAGATAGCTATGATCTAACCATAATGATACCATGCTCCAAGTCGAATCCCATGGTATCCCACTGTAGCGCCATTTGTTGACTAGATGCATTTAGGTCACCATGTTTGTTGCTTAATGTGGGAAACCCAGTAATAAAACCTGCCATTGAGGGATGGTTCATGGCAGTAGGTTTATATACCACATTATACTGTATCAATTCTCTCCCACATAGTTAGCTAAGTTGCAAATAACTCCACTTACGTTTAGGTTTATCTATGGATATATATATATATAATATAATATAATATGTATATATATATATATATATGGGGGTTATAATTTGTAGTCAGTTCGTTCATAGGGGAAACCAACACACATGGGGGACTACA